GCCGTTCACTCTTGATCTTGACCTAGTTCAGCCACCGTCGGGAATTGTACCCTAGAACGTCCCTGTTTCGAATTCGGATCCACTATATATTCCGATCTTGCTGTGGCAGTGCAGTGCATTACCGCATCGCATTGTAGTACCGCATTACCTCGTTCAAACTATCGCATTCACCGTGACGGCCCGTGGCCGGGCCACCGGCATTGACGGCATTGACTGCATTGACGGCTTTGACGGCGGTGTGCGGCATTTGTGCGCGGTGCCAGCTCGGGCGTCGACGAGTCAGCCTGACACGCGGACTACAAGCACGCTGGTCGCGTGGTGTAACGTCTGCGGACGGAGTCACCCTAGAGTGTAGAAACGCATTCCGCTGCGCCTCTGGGTAACCTCGTTTTGACCCAGTGGGTAGCGAGGTATTACACTGGTACCAGAGCTTAGGGTTCGAACCCCGGCTGGACACATTTTCCGCGCACGGCTGAGGTCGTGGCGAGAACTCGAATGTGCGAAAATACAGCTGCGGTTGTATCCAGTCGCGAACCCAGCGAACGATCCTGGTAACCGCTGTGCATCACCAGCGAAGTCGCTGACTTGGTCTACCAGCGAATCTCGAGGTCCTTGTGGGGGCCGACTCCCTGAACCCAACGAGGACGTTGGCACCAGGGGGGACGAGTTAACGTCTGCGGACGGAATCACCCTAGAGTGTAGAAACGCATTCCGCTGCGCCTCTGGGTAACCTTGTTTTGACCCAGTGGGTAGCGAGGTGTTACACGTGGTCTTGCCGCGGTCACTGCGCGCCGACGAACAGCCCGTGCCGCTGCCTGCCGCGGCGTCGCGGCGGTACTGCTACGAGGCCTTCGGCTCTGACGCGGATTTCCTGCCCGAATGGAGCTCTGAGCTTTCCCCTTGATGAGGTGAATCGCCGCGCGAGGAGATGATGCTCCGCACGCCACCGCGTCTTGCGCCGCCACTGCCGCCGATGGCGGCGCCACCGCCACGCCGGTGCCTACTGCTGTCGCTGCTGCTGCAGGTTGGATGGTAAAATTTGAGCCTGAGACGTCAAACTTCGATGGGAGGTGTTGGGATGAGCAATGTGCGGCCGCATTGCAGCAGTCGCAGCAGCAGTCGCATCAGCAGAAGCAGCAGCAGCAGCAGCAGCACCAGCAGGAGCAGCAGGAGCAATGTGCCGCCGCATTGCAGCAAGAGCAGCAGCAGCAGCGGCAGCAGGAGAAATGTGCCGCATTGCAGGAAGATCAACAGCAGGAGCAGCAATGTGACAGTGGGTCGCAGTGCGAGCATCACTACCAGCCTCTGACTTGGACCAGCCTGCCGCTCTGCTGCACAAAGCAGTTGGAGCCGCAGCGGCAGCTGTTCCAGCTGCCGCAGCCGCAGCACCAGCACCAGCAGCCGCAGCCGCAGCACCGGCACCAGCAGCCGCAGCCGCAGCACCAGCACCAGCAGCCGCAGCACCAGCAGCAGCAGCAGCCGCAGCCGCAGCAGCAGCAGCAGCAGCAGCACGAGCAGCCGCAGCAGCAACAAACATCGTACTGCGAGCAGCGCAATGGCCGAAACAAGGGGTACAAATGGAAGAAGACGTCGCACAAACGAATAGCGGGTCAGCCTGTGAAGAGGTGAGAAGATCCTCGGCCATGCCGTTATCGCAACGTCTCTCCTGCCATCACCTTTGGTCGGCTCTGGTCTGGTCGGCTCTGGTCAGGTCAGCTCTGTTCCGGTCGACACTTGTCTGGTCGGCTCTGGTCTGATCGGCTCAGCTAGGTCGGTTTGGGTCAGTTTGGGTCGGCTTGGGTCGGCTGAAGAAAACTGATGCGCCTCGCTTGCTCCCTTCCCATCCAGCGTGCCAGGCTTCTGAAGGGTCTCCCCAACCTCTGTGTACGCGTGCGCCCTCTTTCTCCCCTCCTCCCCGCAGGCTCTACTTCGTCTGTGCGTCTAAGCACGTCATGGGTTGCCCGGCAAGAAAGATTGAGGATCGAGTGGCTGGCGAGGCCCGTCACCCGCGCCGGCTCAAGCTGACAGGCAGCGTTGGAAAAAATGCAGCCGTGGGGAAAACCACAACTGCCGCAACAGATGCAGCTACAACCAGAGCCAGAGCTACAGCTGCAGCTGCTTCCGAAGCTGCAGCTACAACCGGAGTGGCTGTAGCAGGACGTGCAGAAGAAGTCGACACGGCGTCGGACAGGACAGAGATGCGTGTGGTGGTGCGAGTGGCATATTTTGGCTCGCACAACCACCCACCGCCCGTGTTGGAAGCTTCTAAAGCTCTTCTCTCTGGTCCTTCTGCCATCAGCCTCCTTCCCACATTAACTTGCCCCTCTGCCGCTACAGCCTCCATCTCTGCTACAACCTGCACTCCCGCTACAACCTGTGCTCCCGCTGCAACCTGCGCTCCCGCAACGAACAGCCTTTCCACCCCAACTTCTCCTGCCTTCCTGCCGCCTCTTCCCCTTTCCTTTGCTCCTTTGCCTGCCCCCGCTTCCGCCCCTCTGGCTGTTGACGCACCCCAAGCGGCGTGCTTCCAGACTTCCCACTCTCCGTTGGGGTCCATCCCCGTGGAGCCAACGCACGGGTATCCCGCCGCACCCTCCTGTGATTCTCCTGCTTCGCTGGATTCTGCTCCTGCCGCGCTGGCTTCTGCTCCTGCCGCAGCAGCTGACCACGCCACCTATGCTCCTGCCGCGACAAGCCCCCCGTACAGCAGCCAAGCCTCCTCCCCCCTGCTCCATCGCCTTTCTCCTCTCCCTCCTCTCTCCACTACTCACCCCCCTCCTCTCCCTCCTCTTGCTCCGTCCTTCGCACATTCTTCTGACATCACCAACAGCAACAGCAACATCAACAGCAGGTGCGTTGTCATAAGCCAGTTGCCAGTGGCGGCAGCAGCATCGGCAGTGGCAGCACCAGCAACAGCAAAAGGAAACGCCTGTGCTGACAGCCCAAGGCTGGGCGTGCTGGAACCACATCCACTGCAACAGCAGCAGCAGCAGTACCAACAGCAGCAGCAGCGCAGCAGCAGCAGCAGCAGCAGCAGCAGCAGCAGAACAGCAGCATCAGCAGCAGCAGCAGCAGCGCAGCAGCAGCAGCAGCAGCAGCAGCAGCAAGCAGCAGCAGCAGCAGCAGCAGCAGCAGCAGCAGCAGCAGCAGCATCAGGATCAGCAGTATCAGCAGTGTCAGCAGCATCAGCAGCATCAGCAGAAGCAGCATCAGCAGCATCAGCAGCAGCAGCATCAGCAGCATCAGCAGCATCAGCAGCAGCAGCATCAGCAGCATCAGCAGCATCAGCATCGGCCAGCATCAGCAGCATCAGCATCAGCAGCATCAGCAGCAGCAGCATCAGCAGCATCAGCAGCAGCAGCATCAGCAGCATCATCAGCAGCATCAGGAGCAGCCCCAGCAACAATACCAGCACCAGCATCATCAGCACTGTGCAGCGGCAGGTGCCTGCATCTCTTCTTTGCAGCGAGCAACTACCAATGCACATGACTGGATTTGCTCCCAATGTCACCGCTCACGCTGCAGACCTTACAACTCACTCACCTGACATAACCGCTCATGCTACTGACGTTACAACTCATTCACCTGACGTGACCGCTCATGCTACTGACGTTACAACTCATTCTCCTGATGTAACCGCTCATACAGCTGACCTTACGACTCCTTCCCCTGACTTAACTGCTCACTCTGCTGACATTACAACTCATTCTCCTGATGTAAGCCGCTCGCGCTGCTGGCGTTACAACTCTTTCTCCTGATGTAGCAGCTCGCGCTGCTGGCGTTACAACTCATTCTCCTGATGTAACCGCTCACGCTGCTAACCCTGCTCCTACCTCTCAGGGAGTGACGTTCAACCTCCTGTGGTCCCAACTTTGCAGCGAAGCAACACGTTGCTATGGCCAGCTGATGGTGTTGCCATGTCAGCACGTGATGGCATCGCCACGTCAGCTTGCAATGGTGCTGCCACATCGGCATGTGTAGCCACTGCAACAAATTGCGTTGCCCGTGTCAGCATGTTGTGCCGAGGCTGGCCAATATGGGGCCGGCCAACAAGGGGCCGGCCAACAAGAGATGGAGTATGGGCAGAGGTCAGCATCTACTCAATCTCAGGAGAAACCGAGTCAAGGGGTGCAGGAGTACCAACTGCCTTCGTTCAAAGCGTACTTGCAGCAGTGCTACCAGCCGCCACAACAGCAACTGCAGCAGCAAACTGGCTGCTTGGTGGGTGGTGGGGGAAGCAGCAACGGCCGTACCATCAGCTGCCGAGGCTATACAGTGGAGTTTGACACGGAACAGTGCAGCCTGTTTTCTGTACCCCCTATAAGCAGGTTTGACAGTAGCAGTGCTTGCGGCACCAACACCAGCAAGATGCAGTCTGATGGTAGGAGCAGCAGGCTCTCGACTTACTGTAGCAGCACCAGCAGCATCTCCCTCAACTGTGCAATCGACTCTGCACTGACAATGGTGTCATTATCAACAGCCGCACGATTGGCCCTATTAACCGGGTAAACCGTATTAACAAGATTAATGGGGTTAATTGGACTGACCAGAGCCACCCTACGGACCCTATAGACGGGCACAACAGCATGGTGAGCAGTGGCAGCAGCATGAGCATCGTAAGTAACATAAGCAGCATCAATGGCTGCTTCATGGATCCATGGCCGGATACCTACACAGCAGCCATCGGACAGCACCTGGAAGCTCCCTCTGCTGCTGGTGTGTGCCTAGATGACCTGTACTTGGTACCAGATGACGTCACCAAGGTCCCGGGCGGCATCGGCAACATGAGGGGAGTGCCAAGTCATCATAGGGTTTGGAGATTCAGATCTGATGCACTTGTTTGCTGCGCATGGCTGCGATGACATGGATCTTGTACTGTTTGATTGCTCATGCTAGGTGTTGCTTCAAAGCGGTGTAAAACTGTCGTGACGATACTATGTTAGTAATCTTTTGCATTAGGTTCATGGCTTACCGTATTCCCCCGGATAAAACACCCTAGGGTGGCACTAAATTTTGATGCAAAATTTAGTGGGGGCGTAATTAGTGGCACTTTTTGGACAACACCCGGGGGCTATGGAATGACATTGTTCTGTTATAAAACCACGATTAAGATGTGTCGTCTTGGAGCCGCGTCGTCTGGCGAAAAAAATCGCCCGTAGCATGTGATTTCACGCCGTAACGTCCTCCCACCCTTCCATCGCAGCCAGCCCTCCTGCTGCTTGCACGGGTCGCTGTCCATGCTGCCCGCTGCTCGCACTGCTCGCGCTCGCACTGCTCCCTGCCGCTGGCCGCTGTCCCCTGCTCGTGCTGCCCGCTGCCGCCCGCTGATCGCGCTGCCCACTGTCCGCTGCTTGCCGCCCGCTACGCGCCGCCCGCTGCTTGCCGCCCGCTGCTTGCCGCCCGCTGCGCGCCACCCACTGCTAGCTGCCCGCTGCGCGCCGCACACTACTCGCCGCCTGCTGCCCGCCGCCCGCTGCTCGCCGGCTGCCCGCCTGCTGCCCGCCCGCTCGCGCGCGCGCAGCCGCCAGCGCAGCCGCCGCAGCCGCAGTTGCAGCCACGGGAATGGGAAGGATAGAGGACGGATAGGGGAAGGAAAGAGAGGTGGCGAAGGTGAAGGAGAGAGGACGGGAAGGGGAAGGAGAGAGAGGGTGGGAAGGGGAAGGAGAGAGGGCGGGAAGGGGAAGGAGAGAGGGTGGGAAGGGGAAGGATAGAGGGTGGGAAGGGGAAGGAGAGAGGGCGGGAAGGGGAAGGAGAGAGGTCGGGAAGGGGAAGGAGAGGGCAGGGAGAGGTAGAGAGAAATAAAATGAGGTGAGTGGAGAGGGCAGAGAGAGAGAGAGAGAGAGAGAGAGAGAGAGAGAGAGAGAGAGAGAGAGAGAGAGAGAGAGAGAGAGAGAGAGAGAGAGAGAGAGAGAGAGAGAGAGAGAGAGAGAGAGAGAGAGCGAGAGAGAGAGAGAGAGAGAGAGAGAGAGAGAGCGAGAGAGAGAGAGAGAGAGAGAGAGAGAGCATGAGTCCCTCCCTAGCTATTTAAACCCTCTCCCTAGCTCATTCTCCTTGTTTAGTTTTCTGCTCTTCATTTTCTCCCACCCTTGGTGGCGGCTAGAGAGAGAGGAGAGAGAGAGCGAGAGAGAGAGAGAGAGCATGAGTCCCTCCCTAGCTATTTAAGCCCTCTCCCTAGCTCATTCTCCTTGTTTAATTTTCTGCTCTTCATTTTCTCCCACCCTTGGTGGCGGCTCGCGTCAGCGGCCTCCGGCCGCGCGTGAGGGGACGGCAAGCGCACAAGGATATAATATCCACTAGGACAACAGCAAGGACACAAATACGGCGCCTACATCCCGCCCACGCTACACTCAGCAGGCCAGCCTGGAGAGCCTCACCGAGCTTACCAGAGCGCTCACGCTGGGGCGCACTTCACCAACAAGGACCTATACACGACGGGAGCCTGTCACGCGACTTGGTCCGCTCCAGCTTCCTCTAGCAGGGCCTTCACGTAGTCCACCAGGAGCATCAGCGCTGACACGGCGCCGCCAACGATGTCTACAGCTGCAGCCAAGTCTACGCTCGCCGATACTCCCCGCATCACGGCGAGCAGGCGCGGGTCCAACACGGTTCCCGGGGCGGGCGCAGGCTGCACTCGCGTTGACACGACAGCCAGATCAGCTGCAGCCATCGCGCAGCGGTGGAGAGGATCATGAGGCATCTTGCACGGGCTCGCTGAGCTCCGTAAAACGGAGTGCGAGTCTGTCAGCATCTCCACAGCATACCCCATCGCCCGCTGCACGTGCCAGAGCGACGAAGCGTGGCGACTAGGATCGCAGTCTCCGCCAGGCGCTCCCTCCCACGCAGGCCCTCCAGCTGTGCTCTCTGCGGCATCCGCAGCCCAGCCGATCGACGCCGCCCCTGGTCCCCAGGGGGCGAGTCCTCACCCGTGGACTCAGCCCCCCCCATCTCCGCTGCTTCTGCCCCCCCCTCAACTCCAGTTGACGACTCCAGCGCGCGACGTGGGGGGACAAATGGCGCCGTCGCCATATCGCCGAAGGACGCTGGCACCACCATTGGCGGCTGACGGCCGGACCAACCCACCACGGATGCCTCCAGGGGCGGCAGCTGCCAGCGTGGCAGAGTCTCCGAGGGCTGCACGTTCATCTGGTGCGGCACCACTCGTGGTTGGTGCGGAAGGAAAGGAGCGGCAGGGGGAAGTCTGGCGGAGGATGAGTGGACGGAAGAGGCGGTGGAGGCTGTTGTTACGGTGGGAGTAGCGGAAGCGCCGCATTGCGCGGCGGGACCGCCAGCGCTGACATCTGCTGCGGTGGGAGATGCGTTTGTCGCTGATGCACCTGGTGATACTGCTGCGACGCCGGAGGCTGGGGGGGATACTCCATTGGCTGCTGCGGTGGGGCGACAGAGCAGAACAGGCTCTCGAGTGTCGTGGCAGCCCGCCCTAAACGCCTCTCTGCAGCCGATCCGCGGTTACTCCCCCCGCCGGCCCTCCAGCCTTGGTGCTGGCCAGAACGCCCGCGCTGCGCCTGCGGTGTCCGGTGCTGCTGCGCCGGCTGCGCCTGCGGGCGGCGCTGAGGTGTCCCACGGCGGGGAGGGGGCTGTGGCTGGGGCTGCACCTGCGGGCGGCGCTGAGGTGTCCCCCGGCAGGGAGGGGGCTGTGGCTGGGGCTGCTGACCCGCCGCGCTCTGGACGCCGTGCACCACTGGTCCGCGGTCAGGGTCCAGGGCGCGCTCGGGAGTCTTCTCCTCGCGACGCCGCGGGGTGGACGGCCGACTCCCCGACCGCCCGCGCATCCGCTCGGGGGTCTGCTGACGGGCAGGCGAGGGAACGGAGAGCCCGCACTCCCAATCGCGGTTCAACCAGGCTGGGGCCTTGGGGGGGCACACTCTCCCCAGTGCTCTCCATGTCGGCGGAGCGCTCACGCGGGGGCCGGCCCAGCTCGAGCCCCAGTGGCTGGTCCATCAGGAAGAGATGCGCCGCGCTCAGCCACGACCCGACAAGAACGACAGACGGCGGACAGGGCAGCCCCGAGAGGAGTTCGGGGAGGAGGGGGCAGGAGAAACTCTGGGCAAGCAGCACGGGTCACGGACGCGGGCGAGCCAGGCAAAGCGACCTGTCCTCTGACGGGGGTCCGCTGAACGGTTTCCAGCTCGCAGCCATAGGATTGCAAGGAACTACTAGTGAGGAGGAGCGGGCTGACAGAACTTATGTACCTGGGGAGCAGAGGGAATCTACAACAGACGCGTCTAGTGAGGAGCGAGACGAGGAGACTCACAGGCTCTCCAGAAACGGAACTGCTGTCCCAACTCCCAGATCTGGGGGACGCAGGTCCTGCAGCAGGCGTAATGCCTGTGTACCGCTGGACACCCATCCCCAGTCATTCTCGCAGCTGTCCCCAGAAGAGCTGGCGAGCGACGCCTCTCGATTCGTCGGGATCGCCAGCTGGGACATCGCGATATTATGCGACACCCCCCAACCCCCACTCTCCCGCCGGTTACCTCCCCAAATTCGTCAAATTTTCGCGCTCGCCCTGCTGACACCCGTCCTTTTCTTCGTAAAAAATCCAACCTCCACGGAGGGTTGGATCTTGTTACTTTTTCTCCCGCGTCTCACCCTTTGCCTACCATTACCAAGACGTCCTGATTGGCCCGCGGCAGAAAAATGCCTCCGACAATTCCTCGCGGGCCAGTGGGACGCTCTGTACCACTCGGGCCAGCGAGCGCGGGGCCAACGATCTACAACGGCTAGGGCGGGCAAGGGTGGCTAGGGCGGGCTAGGGCGGCTAGGGCGAGCTAGGGCGGCTAGGGCGGAAGCACGGATGGGCGGACCTAACCTAGCTGATACCATATCAGAGTAATCGAATGACTACAATGAAGGCATACAAGGGAATATATGGTTGGGTGTTGTACATAATTCTATTACCGTAAGCATCCGCATTTTTGAGCCTAGGGTGTAATCTCATATACTAGTGGATTTTGGGGGTGAGTCTTATATGGATACCTAAAAAATATGTACCCAGATTATATCTCGTACGCACGTGGAATACAAATTTCTGCATATAGTTTTGTTCCTCGTTTACATTCCTGACTCATTGTCGAGTATTCAGGCCCATTCTAAGCCTTTTCAGTATAAAATGTAAAATGCGAATCTGATTGGTTTGACCTTTGTGCTTCCCAATCGAAATGGCCATTTCATATCGCGAGAAAATCCTAGAGAAACCAAATCGAAAGTGATAGTTTATCGACGGTCAAGATTTTGTCTTCAACCCTTACACGGCAGCATAACAAGTTCACGACTGTAAGAACGCACTTGACTTCGTCCTGATTGGACGGCATTCAGAGCGATCGAGCCCTCGCCCCCAACCCTTACCCATTTCTTTCTGGTTTCCCCTTCTAACATTTCCTTAGTGTAAGGAATTACCATTCCTTACTAGGGCTTGCCACAGCGAGTACACGCAAACCTCTCGGTTCCGCAGGCTTGGCCCTCAAGTCACGCGCCAAACCAGCCCCCGTCGACCTTTTCGGCCCCAACCTCATCCCGAGTCGCCCCGAACCCATTTTGATCCCGTCACCCCTGGGACTATCGAGCCCTTGACTGGTCCAACCCTCGACATTCGGCCCTGGTCAACAAACCTACATATTGCCTAGGCCTCATTATTCTGGACAACTCTGTAATCACGTTCGCCTATAGTATTATGCGCTATACTCTGAGTTATAACTCATAGGGGGTGTGTAAATTTGGAACAGAAGCTCCGCTTCGCTCCCAGACTCCTTCTTTTTTCTGCCCGGTCGGTTTTTTCCCGAAGCAACACAAGTTTGGAGACTACACCACCAGGACGAAACCAATGCACCTGAAATTTCAAAATCTCGTATTTCGGGATTGTAACTAGCGAGGGCAATGTCTCGCAATTTTTGCCTGCGCGAGAAACAACCTTGGTGCTCTGGCGACTTGCGAGGCACATGCATTTCATGCTGGCCGAGTTGCCCAGTTGGCACCGTCATTGGAATTGGCGAAATGCGTTTGCAATTCTGGTGCTGAGTTGTTCTGGTGCGGGTACAACGAGCGGTATTTTTTTTTCCAACGTGCTGGAAGCTAAGGTGGGAATTATTTTTGGCACGAATCCACACATTTTTACACACTAGGTCCGTGCATCCGATTGGCCTACAGTTACAAACGGACATAAAAATGGAGCTCCGTCCCAATTTTACACACCCCCTTACATCTCCTTTTCTCTATCCTCCCGAAAGTTTTTCGCTCGACTTCTCCGTGCTCCCGCTTTTGTGTGTTGTTTTTGCTCGCTACACAGGGTGCACACCTAAAGCCCAGCTCAATACGTGGCCCAATCAGAAACCATCGCCCATTAGCTTTGGCACACGGGCAACGGCCCACTCAACGTGGGCCGTGAACAGAGCCAACAGTGCAGCGTCATCATGACAGCGGTGACGAACATGCGGCACAAGACGAAAGATGTGCGCCGCAACCGTTTTCGCCACAAACTTCCAGCCCCGCTCAGAATAGCGCTCCGGCGAAGCTCAGCGAGCCTTTCCTTGAGCTCGCACAGGTGCGCACGCCTTGCTGGGTTTGTTTGTGACTTGAGCATCGCCGCATGAAACCGAACGCTGACTTGGCAGCGAAATGGAGTCGCGATGTCCTGATGCCAGGGGTCGTTCTCAACATCCGACAACCAACCAAGAAACAAACTCGAAAACAAATTCCCACAATCCACGCAACAGTTATTTTTGTGACACGAACCTTCAATTCGTAATGTCATAAATCTTTAAAACACGCCCCTAACACTTGGAACTGAAATGCGACTCCAAACCATCGCCACATTTCACTGAATATGAAAGGGAGCAAACCAAACCAGAGAAACTCACTCAACATCTCACCCGCCAACCACCACTCTGGTGCTACACCAGAGAAACTCACTCTTGCTTGAAAGCACCGAAATTTAACACAGGGTAACTAAGTGAACAATGGCTCGCCAAAATATGCCATTCAAACCTACCCC